AACAAATTTTAAGCCGTGACCTTTCAATTCGACAACTAATCCAACATCTAAACCAGTGATTTAATTATGCAATTCCTGATTGGATTTATCTTCGACAGTTACTTAAAATCTAAGAACAATGCTAGGTGTGCCGAATTTAGTTCACATAATTTTTACATAGATACAATTGGCAATTTTTCATTTGTTCATGGCAAAAAACACCAAAATAAAAAGATCCAATCAAAAGCTTCCAACGCAGCATATGAAACACTTTATAAAGCACTTTCCTATATACATGGTTTTTTTTCTGAAATCTAATAACTATGCCCACGAAGTGGGCTGATCCCCACTTGTTTTTGAAATGAGTGATTTGATTTGGTGAAGTCGAAACTCAATATTCTAGTTAGTATCCCCTACATCACCATTCTGTTTAATCTTTTTGTAACAGTAATCAGTATTATAAGTATAATTTTGATTGTACAGAATAAAACTAGAACTTTCATAGAAGGTCAGTCCCACTACAGGACCCAATGTCCGACCCCATATGGTATGAGACCTTTTGTAAGAGGTCTATGAACTGGGGGTTCTATACCCCCAGTTCGGTTTGTATTATAAGCCCTTGTCTAACTTTCTTTACTTTACTTTAATTTAATTTATTTTTCATACTTATTTTCAATCATATATTCACATAATAAAATATTTTACGCGTATTAATAGTTTTTTATTACTTTTTAATCACATATTCTTCAAAAAATACTATTCAAAAAACTATGTTTTGAAAATTTTAATACCACTACATCAGGGCTAATTTTGATTTGTTCAATCCAAGAAAGATGTGCATATGGACATAATGGATTTGCTCTTCATTAATTTCTCTTCCACGTGATCGTTAACTATTAACCTTTAAATAAGTTCAATTTTAATTCTTAACACGACTTCGTAAATCTAAGATAATTAAATCGTATTATGTTCAAAAGAGGATTTCGCATAAAATTAAACTAAATCGCCTGTTTAATAAGTAATATCATATATTGATAAAAAAAAAATCTATAAATTATGATAAACATATATCACATATCAGAATTTACTGATAGTAGATATTACTATCATTAAATATCTCACGCCTTGTTGGCAACCGCAGTGTGGGGGTTCGATTCGTGAGACATGGAATTGGACTCCTTGTAGGCACAGTATACAAGCAGTTCTTGTTCTCTAACCTGTTGGGACACATTCCGCAGTTTACCTCCCTTACAAAGCTCTAGGGACGGAACAGTGGAACCTTCAAAATTGTGGTTCAACCTTCACTATTAGCACTTGAATTTTTAGTCATCTTCCAACATTACTATTCTATTTTTCATTTTAATAATCTGCCTCAAAAATTCAACAGCAAGTCAGCTAAAAAGGCCAAATTTGCTTCTGAGTATTCACAGGCCATTACACGTTATCCTCAATTAAAAATCTATGTTAACGACAAGAAAGTCATTATCTTGTCTTGAAACACTTAAAACAATCAAATGGGTAGTTTGAGATTAGAGTAGAAAAACCATTTTTCCATTCCACCACTCGTTCTCTCTCCCTCTCCTCTCTCCTTCTCTCTCTCTCTCTCTCTCTCTCTCTCTCTCAAAAAACCATGATATCCCATTTTATGACGGATCTTGTAATAATATGTGCATTCATTATATGTATAACAGCAATAGAATCCATTAATGAAGCTGATAAAATAGCAAGTTTGCCTGGTCAACCTAAGGTCAGTTTCCAGCAATATGCAGGATTCATCAGCATTGATGAAAAGCAAGATAGAGCCTTTTTCTATTACTTTGTTGAGGCAGATACTAAGCCTGCTTCAAAGCCTCTTGTTCTTTGGTTAAATGGAGGTACTTTAAGTGTGTAATGATCTAATTTAATCACATATTGCTCCTGTTCTCTTTCTAGATACAATTAGAGTGTTTGACTTTGCGTGTATATGTATGTATTACATAATTTTCAAGAAAAGGCTAAAACCCAGAAATTTTTTGGGTTAAAAAAGTCAGATTAATCATTTTGGGTCTGAAAATAGTGTTTCTTGATTTTACAGGGCCTGGTTGTTCATCTGTTGGAGTTGGTGCTTTTTGTGAGCATGGTCCATTTAAACCAAGTGGGAATGTTCTGCTTAAAAATGATTATAGCTGGAATAAAGGTACCCCAGTGATAGAATTATTGAGACTTTTTGTGAGTCATGTGCTAACTTTCTGTGTTCACAGGAGCAAATGTATTGTACTTGGAATCACCAGCTGGAGTTGGTTTCTCTTATTCTGTTAATAAATCCTTCTACTCCATTGGCGATGAAATGACAGGTTCTTTTAGTATGGTTTAATGTACACAGGAAATGCAAAGATAGGTTTACAGAATGCGAAAGGACAACATTTCATTGTGTTTTGGACAAAAATCTAGTAAAAATAGTCAATCTTATGCTGTCATCTTAGCAGACGTAAAACTGCATGTACCTTTTCCCTGTACAAGTATCATTTATGTTAACACAATAGGAACTTTTATGACCATTTCTAGTGCATCGATTTGTAGAGAAGATTGGATAAGACGCAATAGTATAAAAGAAAAAATAAGTAAAAATCTTGTTGTGTATATTGCCTAGCCTTGTCGGTATACTAGAGATGCGTCTAGTATCATAGAATCTTGTTGCAAAAGACTTCCTCACCAATCTGTCCAGTCCATGATATCTGATTTGCACCTCTAAATTTTGATCTTGTCCAGCACAAGACAATCTTATTTTTCTCGAGAAATGGTTTGACAAATTCCCAGAATTCAAGACCAGGGATTTTTATATCACAGGCGAGAGTTACGGTGGTATGTTTCTTTTCACAGGGATTTTATTTTATTTAATTAATTTATTTATTTTTTAAGATTTTTATTCTCCAAAAAAACTCATCTATTTTTGTTGCCAAACATTGTTATGATATTGAGGCCGTAAAGCTCGTTTTGAACTGAAATTTCGGTTTACTAACAGGGCATTATGTTCCACAACTTGCCAATCTCATTATACAATCCAAAGCAAAGTTCAATCTCAAAGGAATTGCTGTAAGTAATAAAAGATAACACAAAACTTATATTTATTGGAGCAACTAATCTTTTCATAATTAATTCTTGATTTATTGGTAATTTCAGATTGGAAATCCTCTATTGGAATTCAATACAGATTTTAATTCCAAGTCTGAATTTTTATGGTCTCATGGACTGATATCTGATGCCACTTATGAACTATTTACAAAAGCCTGTAACTATTCTCAAATTAGAAGGCAATACCAGAATGGAAATCTTACACCAGTATGCTCTCTTGTGATACGTCAAGTTTCAGGAGAGATCGGTAAATTTGTAGACACGTATGATGTTACTCTTGACGTTTGTTTGTCAACAGCTTCAATGCAATCCGAGGTTCTAAATAAATTGGTAATGTCATATTTCTGCTTGTTATGTTATTTTCTCAAGTTCTTTTAAGCAACTAATTTATTTTTCTGGGATTTCTATGAGTTCTTGACAGAAGGATAAGCCGAAAATAGATGTATGTGTTGAGGATGAAACGATTGTGTACCTAAACAGAAAGGACGTGCAGAAAGCTCTCCACTCTCGTCTTGTAGGAGTCAATCAATGGACTGTTTGCAGCGAGTATTTCATCCTCCCTCTTTCAGCACAAATCATTAAAAAAAAAAAGTTCACACACTTAAGATTAATTCTGAAACAGTAAAATAATTTCCTGTTATATTTAACTTGCTGGAAAATCTAATATTCCGTTTTCATTTTCTTGATACAGTGTTTTACATTATGAGATGCAAGATCTGGAGGTACCAACAATTGGCATTCTAGGATCACTTGTCAAATCTGGTATTCGCGTGTTAGTCTACAGGTATATAACGAGAACAAATGATTAGCTCGGACATGAATAATGGATCTGACATGCTCATTTGGTAGGAAAAAAGCACTTGATAGTATAAAGAGAAAAATAAGTTAAAATCTTTTATATTATACCCGTTTTGTGTACCAAATAAGCGCACGATGTTCAGATATTTTACTCACAATAAACACAAAATCTGTGCAGTGGTGATCAAGATTCAGTTGTCCCATTGACTGGAACTCGAACACTGGTTAATGGATTGGCAAAGGAATTAGGACTAAAGACAACAGTGCCATATGGTCCTTGGTATGAGGGTAAACAGGTAAGAAATTTAATGCCTGTCTGATACAGATTCTATTCAGATTTTTAGCACAAATTAGAATGTTAAGTCTTTTTATTAGTCCACTTTAACTATTTGAAAATTTTTGAGTCGAAGATTGCTGCTACAACAAGCCTCGCATGACTGTATAATGGTCTAATTTCTAATTAAAATCTTCGGATAATTACTGCCAAACAAGGACTTAAATTGTACGTGAAGATTTACTTCAGAAAAGTAAATACTTGGAGCCCTATTCTTGAAATTTGCTTTCTGCATTCTAGGTTGCTGGATGGACACAAGCATATGGAGACTTCTTATCATTTGCAACCATAAGAGGAGCATCTCATGAAGCTCCACTTTCTCAGCCAGAGAGATCGCTAGTTCTGTTCAACTCATTTGTAAATGGGAAGCGACTTCCACAGATTAATGGCACGACAGAAGTAGGCTATTCACTGACTCGACTCATTCAAATCTAGCACGTGAAAACAACATTCGCTTATAAACAATAATTCTACGTCGCCAAAATAGATACATGACTGTCAATTGTAACTTCAGAATTCAAATGGAAACATTGTTGCCATATGTATGATGGCTGAGGAGAATGAGAAATTTCATTTTATGCATCTAATTCCCATGATCATATCCATTTTTTACATGCCATTCCATCATATTTGAAGAAGAGAGATCTATTTCATTTGTAAGGAGAAGAAACGACGCTTTTTCCCCTTCTTCCTCTATACAATAGAGTCCAATCAGAAAAATGCTGGCCATAAACAAGCTACAAGTAGCTTCGTATGCTTCCATGAACAGGCTCCAGAGTACGACGCGAACAAATCAAGAATATTCAATTCCTCAATATTTCCAACAATAATAATCCATAAACTGAAAACCAAAATGTCTAGCCGTTAAGACAAGTTTAAACACTAGAAAATTATATAGCTTATTATGCTTTGACATGGCGGCACGAGTATCATCATCGCAGTAGAGTAGCACCAAATCAGTCGTGCAGTGCTCCCAGAATATCATCGTCCCGGTACAGATGATACCTGTAATATCATCAAGGATTATAGTCCAAAATTAGCATTGAATTCACACAAGTTCCAACACGACAAATATCATCCTAGAAAATTAAGGTATAAATAAGAACTGAAGTGAAAACAGGTAGATTTGGCTGGACATAGATAGTTGACATCCAATTCTAGATAATGCCTTGAATCCCCAGAACAGCAAACAAACTAGAAGTATGTCAGAAGAACCATAGGAATCCTATCGGTTGCACGAAGACAGGAAAGACTGCCAAATTTAAACAATGCTTGAACGGTCAGATTTGCCAAAATTTAATTGGTTCCTACAGGTCAAAATTATAAAGCCATAGAAGTAAATTAATTAATACTTCTGTTGTCTGCATTTATTTCCAGGATTTTTACCTTTCAGGGGGGTTTTACGTTTTTCTCGGGAGGAGAGCAGGTGTCTTTAATTTCAATATGGAGCAACTCAATACTAGAATAGTCAGAGACTATGTTGCTCGGACTCGGGTGCGGGTGTCAGATACGGGTACATATCTTGGGGTCGGATTCTTCTCATTTTTAAAATTAAGATATGAGGATACGGTTAAAAAGAATCCGAATTGTGGATACGGGTACGGGGATACGTCCTACAATTTTTTTAAAAATTGTTCAATTAAAGTACACAACAACAATATTAAAGCAAAAAGGCAAATTACCACAATACAAATGTTTCATATAATGATAAAAATCCAAATTCAAACAAAACATAATTCTGGAATTTTTTGATTGAATTAGATGGATTCATACTTGAAAATTAGGAGTAAGGAATATTCTGAAATTTTTTGATTGAATTTTTGATTGAAGAAAATAATTTTCTGTAGAGGAAGATGAAAAGTATGTGGAGTTTTCTGGTGCAAAAATTCCAAAAGGCAGATAAAACGTCTTTCGCAATTCCAAGAGTTGACCCATTATAGGAGGAATCTTCAAATTTGGTGCAATTTACGGGAAAAGAGACTAACTCATCAAATAGCAATTAATGCACCAGAAATTTCGTCTCCTCCAAAGCTCCAACCCTCATCTTCCCTGTCCGCCTGTTTGAAATTACTGGTTTAATGCTGCTGTCATTTTCATTCCTCCATTTCCAGCCGTGTCCAAGTTCAAAGTCGAGTATCCGACCCGTGTCCGTATCCGTGTCGTGTCGACACGGATACTTGGCCAAAAATGGAGAGTCCGAGCAACATAGGTCAGAGATGATTAATTAATTTATTAGATAAATATCTCCAAGATAGTCGTTTCACATCAAGAGTACTGAGTAACCTTTTCAAGTAGAAACAATATCACGGTGCAGATTAGAAGTGAGATCCATGACATTGTTCATTATATCATTAATCACATGGTAGACAACTAAAATCCCAAAAAACAACAATGAACTGGGCAAGGGTCACAGCCACTAATGGCAGTGATAATGTTTGGACAGATATTAGAGAAAAACAGTCAAAATTTAGAGCACAGAACTAGTGAACTACAATAAATCATCAACTCAGTATACTTCATGGGAATTTCATGAAACTAGTTAATCCTTTGTTATTAATGGATTAATTTAATTATCCACAAAATAAAATCATTGGGCATAAAAAAAAAGGGCGCATAGAAGGATTACAAATTACATTAAGAGCAAAAGAAGAGAGGACAGAAGACTTACTCCTTTTCACCAAGCTTCACTTCAGTTCCTCCATATTCAGGCAACAAAACATGATCTCCTTCCTTCACACTGACTGGAATCAGCTTTCCTTCCCTGTCATGATAACCAGGACCAACAGCAACAACTTTTCCAGAATTCAGCTGAACCATTATGGGGAGATCAAGTTTCAGCAGTACAAAGATAAAAGTATCAATAAATACAAATGAAATACATAGTACACCCCATTATTTGAAATTAAGATTGATAAAAAATACCACTTTGTCCCATATACCAGCTAATGAAATCTATTAAGAGTAGCAAAAGTTTTAAAGTTAACGAATTAAAGCATTAAGCATTCATCGTTGATATAGTCAGACAAATTAAAGTGGCTATTCCACCCATCTATAGCTCATAGATTTTTTTATTTATTTTATTTTATTTTATTTTTTTTATCTCCTCTTCAAATATTATTTTCACTCTCATCTAAGGGCTACCAAACACTGAGACGAGGCTCACCGTTAAATCAGCACATCATATAAACAACCAAAATATTTTCGGATCCATTTGGCATGACTTTTACTTTTGTTTTTGGTTATTGTAAAATAGCTTCACAAGGAAGCTACCTCAATTTTTCGTTTAAAACTAATTTCACAAGAGTATTTTTTTTCTTCATTTAGTAAGTGCTTTTAGAGTAAGCCATGTTGGACCAGCTTCCTCTAAACAATGCAACGTCTAAATACTATCTCAGAGGCACAAGAATAGTGTCAAACATGCTCTCAGGTAAAAGAGTTCTGTACAACTTTAAATCAAAATGTCGTACTCTTATACACGTTCTCTGGTAACAGAGTAAAATACAATCGATGATGCGCAGAAGATAATGATGTAATATTCTGCATATTCTTGGGCATGAGTAAAACTTCAAAGCAAAATGATTTTGAGATATATGCTTCAAAAGTATACCATTATCTGCCATGAAAATCAAAATATGCTAGATTACTGTAAAATTTTCCCTCCAACTAGTATGCAAGGACCTCCATTGCTACTATCCTCATCAATTTGAATTGTAGATTAACCGTACACAAGAAAACTAGAAAGTAAAACGACTCAAACACTTGTGGAAATATTAAACTAATTAAAAAAAAAAATCTCCTCAGAAAAGAACACTATATAAAAAAGAAAAATACATTCTCAAATCTTTGTCAGCATTTCATTGTGATGTGCAAAACAGACCCACAAGACAAAATCATCCATGGAGTAAAATCTCTTCTAAAAGCATGAATATTCCTACCATATTACACGGATTTAAGTTAAAAAAATACTTGCAAGAGAAAATTAACTTACAGAAGAACTAAGAAAGAGCTACCTTTACAGCGGGAAATGGTCATACCTTGGTGGTTTTCTCAGGGAGGAGGATTCCAGCGCTTGTTTTGGATGGAGGGATGATTTTCTCCACCAAAACCCGATTCAGGAGGGGCATCAATCGCTTAGCCATTTATTATTCTTGGAGACGAAGAAGAAATGCAGAAGCCAAAAACTGAAGAAGGGCACTAGGGTTTAAGGGTTGGGGCAGTTAAAAAAAAAAAAGGTTTAAAGAATAGAGTCGGATTGAGAATGTAAAATTACCAAAACCACCTTCATTTAAAAATTTTGTGCTCTTTGAGAATTACGCAGTCCATTCTATATTGAAATAAACAATTTAATTTAGGGATAATTGCAATCACAGTCCTAGATTTTTTCAAATTTTTACTCTTAATCTTTGATTTATCGCAATTGCAGTCCCAAGACCTTTTACTTATGTGCCGCCGAAACTATTCATATGTCCGTTAATTGATCAGAAAAATTGACTTTGACCATATTTAGGCTTTTTATAAGTTGTATCTATTTTTTGTCATTTCTAAATATGCATTTATTTAATTTGAATTTCTTGGTCATCGACTTCAACAAGCACTTAAATTATAAATTGCAACCAGAATATCAAAATGCCATTGACTGATTGAAGCATATTCATGTAGCAACGAAGGGGGTGAGGTGGGGGTGAATGAGAAGATGGAATATTTATTTTCTTTTACGGTAATTATATTTACAGAACAATTTTTTATTTCTTGTACCACATTTTAATTACACTTAAAATTAATGATTGCTCATTATAATACTTATGTCCATTTAACGATTTTTTATTTCATTCTTATTCTCAAACTATTCATCAATTAAAACATTCTGTATTTAATAATAATTTTATGTCCAAAATTTCGTTAAAATGGTATAAAGAACCTATTTTTCAATCATATTTTTGTTAAAAAAATTTACATAATTAAAAAGTGCAAAAAAAATATTTTTTTCTTATTTCAAAGCATGAAAATAAAATATTTTTATTTAAATCATCATCAAGGAAGAAAGGTATTGATTAATGAAAAAAGGTTAAAAATAAGAATTTGGCTAAAAAAAGTTAAGAAAATAATTGTTATAATGAATAAAGATTGACGAGTTTAACTACAATTAAAACGTGGTATATGAAATAAAAAAAATGTGGTGGAAATATAACCATCCTTTCTTTTATTTATTTTCCCTTTTTTATTTTTTATTTAATTATTTTATGTATAAAAATGTAAAGTTAATTTTTTACTCTTTTAAAATTGATCAAAATGTGATCAAAGTCAATTTTCCTAATCAATTGAAGGATATTGAAATCGTCAATATGCCCTTGGCTGTACACAAGTAAAAGATTTGAGATTTCAGGTGTAACAAATGAATGATCGAGATAAAAATTGTAAAAATTTGAAAGATTTAAGCCCCGTTGATTCTCATTTTTATCAAAATGTATTTTTTCTCTCTTCTTTTTAACCATATATTCTTCATTAAAATAATATACACGTAAATCAAAAACTTTTCTTTATTTTTTATCTACACATTCTCTATTAATTTACTATTCTAAAATTCATTTTTCCAACAAAATGGGTGTCAAACACCCTCTTAAGATTTAAGCCCCTTTAATTGAGTCTTTTCCATAGAAATTTATATGTGATTAAAGTTATTTATTGAATTTAAGTTAAATTAAATTTTAAATCATACCAAACAGGAGTGTAGTAATATAAAGTTTTGTATAGGAGGGATTTTAAAATTTTTTTTTCCAGCAATCATATATTCTTTGACACCTATAATTTTATTTTTTTTTTAATTACACATTTTTCAAAAAAATTTAAAATAGTAGTTATCATATTCAATTCGAAGAAGCCACCGAGTTATTAAATCACTAACTAATTGATAACTGGTTTAACCAGCGGGTCATTACTAAATCAAAAATTCAACTTAATGTATTTTTTTTGTTTTACTGAATTCATAGTTGTGTTTATCTTCTTCTTTTTTAACTATGTTCTTGTTACAAATATTTGATATATGTTTTAGTAATTTGTCCCAAGTTTTATTTATTCTCTATGGAATGGAAGGATGTAACCATATTTGAATTATCTAACTACACGATGAGAAAAAAGCATCCATGAACTCTTTACTAATGGTCTATTGGGTGCACTACTAACAAACATGGCTTCAAGCACGGATTTTCTGTTCCTGAAATCTCGATATCCGTTGCTATTACTCTTTACCAACGGAATATTTGCAATCGCAAATCCGTTGCTTATTTGAGGATCGCTGATAATTACGAACGGATCCTGCCATACGTAAAGAGTAAATATTTTACCAACGAATTTTTCGTTGGTAAAGTGTGAATCTTTTACTAATGAAATACTGTTGGTAAATATCTTAACCAATACCAACCGACTTTCCGCTGGTAAATATTTACCATTACAATTGGTAAAAAATCAATATTGTAAATAGCCGCATAGGTGTGTGTGTGTGTGTGTGTGTGTGTGTGTGTGTGTATATATATATATATATATATATA